GTCTGTAGTGATTTCACCTTTTTCATTTCTTATTGCATGAATTTGAGCTTTTTCTTCCCTTTTTTTAATAAGGTTGGCTAGGGGCTTATCAATTTTATTTATTCTTTCAAAGAACCAACTCTTTGCTTCATTGATTCTTTGGATTGTTTTCTTAGTCTCTATTGCATTGATTTCTGCTCTGATTTTTATAATTTCCTCTCTTCTTTTGGGCTTTGGGCTTGACTTGCTCTTCTTTTTCTAGCTGTTTGAGGTGTAGCATTAAGTTATTTATTTGTATTCGTTCTGTTTTCCTGATGTGGGAACTCAGTGCAATAAATTTTCCTCTGAGGATGGCTTTCATTGCATCCCACAAATTCTGGTAAGTTGTATCTGCATTTTCATTTTCTTTTAGGTATTGTTTAAGTTCTTCTTCAATTTCTTCTGTGACCCACTGATTACTCAAGAGTGTGTTATTCAGTTTCCATGTGTTTGTGGGATTTAATTTCTAATTTCAGAGTGCTATGATCCGATAACATGCAAGGGATGATTTCAACTCTTTTTCATTTGTTTAAATATGTTCTGTGAGCTAATATATGGTCTATTTTAGAGAATGATCCATGTACTGCTGAAAAGAATGTGTATTCTGATGCTGTTGAGTGGAACATTCTGTATATGTCTATCAAATCCATTTGTTCGCAGGTGTGATTCAGTTCTTTTATTTCTTTGCTCATTTTCTGTCTGGTTGATCTGTCCTTTGGTGTCAATGGCGTATTAAGGTCTCCTGTTACAATTGTGTTACTGATAATTTGAGTTTTCATTTCTGTTAATAGTTGTTTTATATAACTGGGTGCTCTGGAGTTGGTGCATATATATTTAATATAGTTATCTCTTCCTCTTGGAGTTTTCCCCTTACAAGTATGTAGTGACCTTCTTTGTCCTTTATGGTCCTTGTTGGTTTAAAGTTCACTTTGTCTGCAAACAAAATGGCTACTCCTGCCTTTTTTTGGATTCCTGCTGCATGAAGTATTGTTTTCCATCCTTTGACTTTCAGTCTGTGAGTATCCTTCTGGGTTAGATGGGTTTCCTGTAAACAGCATATGGTTGGATTTTGTTTCTTCATCCATTCTGCTAGTCTGTTTCTTTTGATTGGTGCATTGAGACCATTTACATTAATGGTTGTTACTGTTAAATGCTGGTTTATTGTTGACATGTTATCTCTCTGCTGTTTCATCTTTATCTTTCTGTTCTGTTTAATTATCTGCTTTGCTTAGTGGTTTTTTTCCTTTGTGTATCTAAACTGTCTTTCAATATTTTTTGCAGGGTTGGTTTGGAATTCATGAAGTTCACCATCAATTTTGACTGATAGTTTTTCAGGATACATCAGTCTAGGTTGGAAATCATTTTGCTTTAAGATCTGGAATACTTCACTCCATGCTCTTCTTGACTTTATTGTTTGTGCTGAGAAGTCTGCTGTGATTCTGATAGGTTTTCCTTTATAAGTGATCTGTCTTTTCTCTCTGACAGCCTTTAATAATCTATTCTTGTGTTGGATTTCTGGGATGGTGATTATTATATGTCTGGGTGTAGTTTTATTTTGGTTATGACTATTTGGAGTTCTATATGCTTCACTGATCCTGATGTCGGTTTATGATCTCATGCTTGGGAAATTTTCAGCTATTACTTCTCTAAATATCCTCTTGACATCCTTTATGTTGTCTACTTCTTTTTCATTAATCCCTGTCATTCTTACGTTATTTTTCTTTGCATCATCTTGCAGTTGTTGAATTGTTGTTTCCTGATTCCTTGTTATTTTTAAAAGATCTTTCCTTTCCTGTTCACTAGCTGCAATCTTGTCTTCAAGGTCTGAAATTCTATCTTCACTTTCATTAAGGCAGTTTTTACAACTTTCAGTGGAGTTTTTTATTTCCTGTATATCTCTGTGCATCTGCATTATGTATTCTGTTTGTTTCTTATATTGCTCATCTAGGGATTCTATCTTTTTGTTTAGTTCCTCCAATTTTTTATCTGTGTTTTCTTTAGATATATTCAGAATCTCTTTCATTTCTTTTATCATTTCTTCTTTTACCTGGGAGATTATTTCGAGCTTGAATTTCTTTAAAGCTTCTTGGAGTTGCTTGTTAATTTCAGTAGCTATGTGTCTGATATTTGAGGTGAATGGCATATATTTTTTTCTACATACATTGCTCCTAGGGTTTCTTGAGATGGGCTGGAGGTTTGAGGTTGTAATTTGGTCTTTCGTTTTTGTCATTTTCCTATATTTCTGCGTTTCAAGTGTTATTTGAAAGCTTCCTCAGGATCTGTTGGAAATCCCCTTCTATGTTTGCAGCTACTGAGACTCTGGCACCAGACTACCCCAAGTCACTGGGCCTGCAGAACCAATGGCCCTCCTCTGCCTGCTCAGAACTCCGCAGTTCCAGACAAGCTGGGCCTCAGGGACACTGTGCACCCACCTGCCCGTTGGAAGCTCCACAGCTCTCCAATCGCAGCCAGGATGTGGAGGCAGATGTAGACGCCTCAAACCCACCTCTCCACTTCACTGCACCTGGAAGCCTGGAGGGACCCAAACAGTCTGGGCTCTGGGCAGAGTGCGCTGAACACTCACCACAGGCTGCAGGGCCTCCGGAACCCGCGATGCTCCACTGCCCGCCTAGACATCCACAGTCCTCCAGACACACGGGGAGGCCGATGCAGGCGCCCCAGACCTGCCCAGCCCCTCCTCTGCACACCGATGGCTAGGTGCGGGAGGCCTCGGTATATTTTCAATTCTTCTGGAAAGACAGCCAGAAGGGGAATAGCTGGGTCAAATGGGACCTCTAATCCTAGGGTTTTTTTTTTTTTTTTTAAGGAATCTCCACAGTAATATCCACAGTGGTTGCACCAGTCTGCATTCCTACCAACAGTGGAGAAGGGCTCCTTTTTACTGACAGCCCTGCCAGCATTTATTATTAAATGATTTGGGGCTGGTATTTTTGATCTTTAATTCTGAAGACTATTTCCAGGTAGATCTTATTTTGAGGAAAATATGATTGACCTCCAGTAATGTGTGACTCAAAATAACTTCTAGAAATTTTCACCTAGTCGGCATGGTATGCATGGGTGTAATGCCAGCACTCTAGGAGACTGAGGCAGGAGAATTGCAAGTTCGTGACATTGAGGCCCTGTCTCAAAATATAAAATAAAAAAGGGCTGGGGATGCAGCTCAGTGTGAAGGCCCTGGGCTCAATCTCAGTTTTGCAGTGGGGGAGGGAATAGAGAAATTTTTTCCAAACTTTTGTGTGTATATAATGGGGATTGAACTCAGGGTCTTTGTACTAAGCTACATTCCCAGCCCTTATTTTTCAGATTTTGAGATGGGGTCTCACTAAATTGCCCAGGCTGGAATCAAACTTGTGATCCTCCCATCTGAGCCTCCCAGAGTACTGGGATTACAGGCTCCCACACCTGGGAACTTTATTCTTTGAGACTGATCTCACTGTGTAGTTCAGACTGGCCTTAAAATCACTGTGCAGCCCAGGCTGGCCTCAAACCCTCACAGTGCTTTTCCTGTGCCAGCCTCCCGAGTGCTGGAGTTACAGGCCCACACCAGCATGCCCACTGGCACTTTATTCACTGACAGTTTCTATATGCCTCTGTGTGTACACACGCATGCCTATGCACACCAACCCCGCTGTATTTGCCTTCTCCCGTATCTCAAGGTCCTTCCCTCATTGCTAAAGCTTAGAAGGAAAGTTAAGGAGCACTGCACAAGCAAAGAACAGGCTACCCGTCCCCTGTACAGGTTCTTTAGCCCCTTCAGAGAGAAGCAAGCCTTCAGGAGGAAGTGCCCTGGGCAACTGAAGGCAGATGTCCTGTGTCCCGGGTGAATGATCTGGGGATGACAGTGCACAAGGTATGCACCACTGTTGCCCCTGATAGATGAGTTTTGAAATTTTGTTCTAGTTTTTTTTTTTCCTTTTTATCCTTGAATAGAATGGATTTGAAAAAAAAAAAAAATCAAACTGCACCTACATGTTAAAACAAAAAACAAAAAAACAAAAAAAACTGTCCTGGGCAGGCCCTCCAGGAAGAGCTGCTTCACACTTGGCCTAGGGTCTTTCTCAAATGTTGTCTTGAGCCTCAGGCCTTTAAATATTAGTGGCCCACTTTCTTCTGCCCCCCACAGGGCCTGTCCAGGTTGGCACTGTCCCCACCTCTGCCGTTCCTGCAGTCCTTCACTTCAGTCTGTCCCAGGATCCCAGATTCCAGGGCCCAAGGCAGGCAGCCTGAGGAACCCTACATCTACAGTAGCTTTCCTGTTACTGCCTGCTGCACCTGAGCTCAGAATTTCTTCTGCTCTGCTGAACACGGTTAGCTTTGCCGTCACATATTTCTCCTGCCCCTTTCCAACAGTGATACGGGATGATCTCCAGCAGGGCAGCGACTCACCTTATGAAGGCTATGCCCAGCGGGCCTCACAGGTCATGGTGCTGGCTCCTTGGGGGCTGGCACTCTCAGCCCCCAAGGCTTCTCCCAGCCTAAGCTCTGGCTTCTTCCCCATCTGTAACCTCTCTCCTTCCATTCCAGCTTCCCCTCCCTTTAGGAGCCATGATCCTGCAACCTGGGACCCTAGCTTCCTCTGATCCCACACCTCTTGTCCAGGAGGAACTTATCCTGAGTGTCCTCAAGGCTGGGCCTATTCAGCCTGTCTTGCGTGACTCACGTTTGCTGTGTCATTCTCAATGGATGTTACAGTCCTTGATGGCCAAGCCTTGCCAAGTACAATTTATTCTTGTATTCCAAGTGCCTAACACAGTGGTGGTGAACCGATGGCATGTGTGCCACAGTGGACTGTCTGTGTCACTGAAAGCTCTAAAAGGTTTGACATCACTGGTGTAACGCAGAGTAGGTACAAAACTAATAGCCCTCAACTCCTGGGAGAAGGCTATGGCTTCACATAGGGACACAGGTGACCAGATAGTTACACAAAGCAAAGTTAAAGAGAAGAGGCCAGGGACCACAGCTAGGAAGTATTCATTTTATTTTACTGACTTTTTTCTGGTACCAGGGATTGACCTCATGAGCTCATGCTTACCAGGCAGGTGCTTATGCTGTGGAGCTAAATCCCCAGCCCACTGACTTATTTTTGAGACAGGTCTCCCGATGTTACCTGGCTAAACTGAAGCATGCTTACTACCTCAGACTCCCAAACAATTGGGAATATAGGCATGGGTCATTGCACCCTGCTAAGATGTCTACACTTCGAAAATAAATATATACATATACACACTCATGCACACTCCTGTGTACATGTACACTGTCTCCAGGCCCAGGACCAGGAGGCCTAAGAGGGGGACTGTCCACCTGCAGTTGGCCTCTCTGATCCTCTGCTGTCCCAGCCAGAGTTCTTCTGGAGCTCTTGGAAGAAAAGCTGCTGCTGGAGGCTTCTCAGAGTCTGCAGATCCTCAGGAGACAGTTGCTCACCTGTCTTCCGCAGGTCCTGATCTTCCTCCTCCTCCTCTTCCATTTCTACAGGTCCATCTGGGGGCTGCGGGGAGCTCCTGGAGATATAGCCTTGGTCAGACTGCACCGACTGCCGCTGCTCCTCCTCATAATGTGTGCAGGGGTCCTTGAGGACCGCGATAGCTTCCTCCCAACCCTCATGGGCCCGGCTGCTCAGACTCTGCTGCAGGAGTGAGAACATCAGGCCTTCCAGCTGCTCCCTCCCATCACCCAGGTGCTCTGGTGATGCCACTGGAGTGCTGCAGAGGGGTGAGTCCTCGGGGTCCACGGGTAGGAAGAGGACACTGTTCCGCCGTGGGCTGCTGCCCCCCAGCAGAGGGCAGGCCTCACCTTCTACGACCACCAGCCGGTTGGCTGTGCTGCTCCCAACAACGCGCTGGGCTGGTTTCACTGCGTGAGCCACAGGGACCTGTTCCACGGGCAGCACCAGGGCCCTCAGGGCCCCAGCCTCAAGCTCCCCCAGAGGCTGCAGCTGCAGCTTTGATGGTCCTCTTCCTTCCTCTCGGAGGCACACATCTACCAGCTGACAGCCCTTGGGGGCAGGTTCCCTCACCAGGGGCTTCTGCCTGACAATTCTTTCCCCTGGTGGCAGCAGTGGGTCTTCAAATACTTCTTCATCCAGGGACGAGAGGTCCTGGTCATGGGTTGAGCGAAGGCTCTCACGCTCAAACCAGTCGGGGCACTGGATTTGCCACTGCTGGAACCTTTCCACGGCCCCCCTGAGCTGCCTGCCGCTGGGGCTTTGCAGGTAGCTGTCTTCTGCCAGCTCCCTGACACGGCACATCTGGCCAGGCTCAAACATCTCCAGGTCCTGGATGCGGAAGTATACTTCCTCAAACTTGTCCATGAGAGGGTACCTTGGGGTGATGTTGAAGAGGTCAGGGATATCGTCCTCGCTGCTGATGCCCGTGAAGTAGCAGATGACGTAGGTGCCGAAGGAGGCTGGCTTCTTGAAGTCAGGCAGGATCATGTTCATGGCCGCTGTGAAAAGGTCCCCAGTGGGCTTCTGGTGGTCACACCGCAGCTGGACGGCAGCTTCCTCCCAGCCCAGGATAGCCTGCCACTTGGCCTGGGTGCCTCGGGAACATAGGATGATGATTTTGGAGTTGCTCTCCATCATTTCCTGCTTCTGGCGGCCTACCCAGGTCATCACCCCCACCTCTGAGATGACCTGCTCTTCCAGGAGGTCAAGAGCCACTTCAGTGCCACAGGTGGTGAGCAGGAACTGGGCGAACTTCAAGACTACATCTACATAGAGAGGGTGGTCAGCTGAGTAGACAATCCAGACCTTCCTGGGCTTCAGCGGTGGGGGGCTCAGGGCAGCTGCTGGCAGGACATCTAGGGGAAACAAGGGGAGTGAAGTCACACACAGGCAGGCTGTGTGCCCTGCCTGATAGCCTGAGGAGCTGAAACCAGACTTGGAGCCTGGGGAGAAACAGGTTTGGCCTCATGTGAAAAAGGATCTCTCTTGCACATTCCTTTGTGCCTATACTTCAGTCACTTTAATTGCAAAAAGAAAAAAAGTAAGACCTGCCGGCAGAATAGAAATATCTGCTGGGAAGGACTTTTTAAATTTAAATATGCTACCCTCACCTTGCTCTCCTTAGATATCTGAGTAACTGAACCATGGTATACCATGACACCCTGAAAGCCCTCTCTGTGACTGCTGGGGGAAGGTACTGAAGAGTGGTCGCTTGGAGGGACCCACTCACCTATCTTGAGAACCCACCACCCACCTTTAAAAACAGATACAAGAGCAAACAAGCCCAGAGATACTGACCAGTGCCTTTGGTGCCATCATCGGACTTCTCACGATGAGACCCTAAAAGGGAAAGGTGTTAGAGTGGTTCTCCTGAAGGAGGACAGGACCTGCTAAGTGTCCAGGCCAGGGACAAGGGGCTGCTCTCTGGTCACGGAAGGGTTCTAGGCCTCTGCAGGCATGTGCTTTGGGTCTGCTATGACCAGCTGCATGGCCTGGGCAGGTGACTATTGTGTCGGAGATGCAGCTTTTCCTCCGTAAAGTGAGTCTGGGGAAGCATCCGCTAAGACCAAACACAGGAAGGGCCCTGCATACCTCATGGACTGGGTCCCCATGATTATTGTGTGGCACTGACCCACCTGGGCCCCAGGTTAGCGCTGCAGGTTCTTCCATGGCCCTTGGCCACAGCCCCTGGCCTGCCAGTAGTTTGGATTCTGTGAACAGACTACAGCTGAGGGAAAGCTCGCCCCTGGAAGTGTCCATGTGGGACACAGACAGCTTACAACACCTCTCTCTGCAGCCCTTTTGGGACATTTACGACACTTCCTCCGGGTACTTCTGAGGTGAGGCAAGGGAAACCCACACACTTAGGCAACTATTCTTGCAGACATGTGATGAAAAACTGTGTGGGGAGTTAACTCCTCAGTGACAGTTAGGATACACAGAATTCATGGGTGACTAAGACAGAGGTCTGTCTGTCAGATGGTTTCTGTGGCACTAGGGACGGAATCCAGGGCCCTGTGCACACTAAGCAAGTGGTCTACTGCTACATGACAGTCCTGGCCCTAAGCAGAAGATTGAAAACCTTAATTTTAAGTCTCACCCTTTGGGCCTTTTCTAAGACTGCTAGGACAACCACTAAGTAAGTGGTGGGATGGCCGGGTATGGTGGTGTGCACCGTTATCCCAGCACTCTGGGAGCTAAGGCAGGGGGGCCACAAGTTCAAGCCCAACCCAGACAACTGACCAATTTAGTGAGATCCTATCTCAAAAAATATATATATAAATAAAAAAAGGTACGTGTGTGGCTACTGGGAATGCAGCGTGTGAAGACCCTAGATTCAATCTCCAGTATAGGAAAAAACAAAACGTGAGGTGCCCTTGCCTTCACCCTGAGGTGTGGAGCAACTCAGCGGGTAGCTCAGTGGCAGAGCACTTGCCTGGCATGCAGAGAGTCCTGGGTTCAACCCCAGCACTGGAAAACAGAGAAGAGTGCAGGAACAGAAGAACCTTATAGCTTGTAAAGTACTAACTAAGATGCTATTTGCCCCTTCCAATAATCCCCTGGACACAACAAAGATCCCAGCTTCCCAGATAACTGAAGATGCAGCCTGGAGCAGGGAAGGACTGAATGCCTTAAGCTGAGGACTCTTGCTGTTCTTGCTGACCAGAAGCTGGCCAGTGGAGGGGAAAAGAGAGAAGGAACTGACACTAACTAAAGCCAGTGAGGCTGAGAGGAGGTCTATTACTGAAAGGTCAGGGTCCAGAGCCTGAGCCTATCACATCCTGCTGTTTCTTGTTTTTTCCCTGACCTCACGCATACAGGTCTGGGGGCTACAGGATGGGAGTGGTCCAGCCTGCTCCATGTGTGACAGATCAATGGGTCCTGATTCAGGGAAATCCCCTCTGGCTCCTTTCAATCTGTTGACTTTAATGCTGCACTAATTTTAACAGCAATAGTTGGCTGACAGCTACTAAGCACACATCACATCTGACTTCCACGCTACAAATTTACGTACATTATCGCTCTCAACCCTTAGCGAGAGTGGATAACGTGGATATCATTGGAATTTTACATGGGACACATCCCAGGCTGTGGGAATTAAACACGTCCAGGTACCCTGCTGGCAGCTGGTCTTGGGAGTCTGAGTCGGTCTGACCCAGGTTTGAGGCTCCTGACAACTAAGCACCTAGTGTGGGTGACACCACGGGGCTGGCCTTGTGGGTACCCTCTGAGCACAGGTATGGCAACGATCCAGGGGTGGGACTGGAGCAGGAGCGGGGAGGGGGGAGAGTGAGAAACAGGGTGTCCCTAAGCCCAGAGCCACCGGCCCTTACCTGGCAGCCTCCATGTGAGGCACAGGGTCATCAGGATGACTGAGCCCACCAGCAGGATGGAGACGCCCGTGATGAAGATGTATCCCCAGAGGGGTATGTGATCTGTGGGGCAGAGCAGCATGAGAGATGGACAGGGCCAACCTTGCTCTCTCCACGCCCTGCTCCCCTCTCCCCACTCCGGACTCTGGCCTCTAGCCTGCATCTAACTCTGATGATCTCACTTCCACTGACTGGGCTGCCGGCTCTGTCTCCTGGTTCAGTTGGGAACTCCTGTGGGCCCTGACACTGGTGAAGGAGATCTGTACTTACCTGCAATGAAGTCTGTAAGGAGGACAAAGGGAGAGAGAGAAATGGATTATTCTTCATTATTAGCAGTTATGCGAAAACTCATCACTGACCACTGATGGCTACTGGGGCTATAGCGACCTTGACCCTGCACCCCGCACTTCAGATATGGGCCACACATGATGTGACCGCCTGTTCTAGCACCTTCAGTGGTTGGTCTAAGAGCTGCGTCTCCTCCTGCTCAGGAGCTGGGTTCACTTCCAGCCCCAAGCCACACTTGCTGGTCTTATCAGTGTGTCGCAAGAGCTTCGTTGAACTAGGACCAAGTGGCTCTGCAGAGGTCAGTGGCAGCCAGGGGAAAGGAGCTGGCTATTGCACCCGACCGACAGAAATCTGAGGCCTTGCTGCATCCTTGGTGTGTGACCTTGGACAAGTGTTAAACAGGCCTCAGTCTGCTCTTCTGTGGACCTAGGGTGGAGCAGTCTCCACTTCACAGTACTGTGACTCAGCTTGAGAGTTAAGTGTGGTTCTACACAACCCTACTTCCTAATCAAGGTGGAGTACTCTGCCCAAGGCGGCACAGCTGTGGAAGGCAATCAGGAGTCCAACCCAGGGGTGTGACTCTGAACTCTGCTTCAGGCATGAATCCAAGTTAAAAGAATTCCTCTCGCCCATTCCTAGGACCAGCGCAGGCTTCAGCTCAGTGCTCACCTGAGTCATGCCCTACCTACCTGGGGTCGGCGGCACTTTTGGGCAGGAGACAGTCACAGAGTATCTGAGACAGTCATTCAGGCAGGTGCTGAAGAAAGGCTGGACCTGTGAGGGCAGAGGAGGCTCAGGGAAAAGGGGCTCTGAGAGGGAGGTAGAGACACATCCATTCACGGGCCTAGAGGCAATTTATTAGGAGTACATCCTGGGTGGCCAGGCCAGGGTGGCCACACAGCTGTTGAGCTGGGCCTGGTGGTGTGTGCCTATACTCCTGGTTGCTTGGCAGGCTGAGGCAGGAGGATTACGTGAGGCAGAGTTTAAGACCAGACCGGGGAACATAGTGAGATGCCTCTTAAAAATACAAAGGCAGACTTCCATATGGTTGAGGGCACAGGTCTCTCATGGGTGAAAAGGGATTAAAAGAGCTCTATGTGGGGCTGGGGATTTAGCTCAGCAGCATAAGCACCTGCCTTGCAAGCAGGCAGTCGTGAGTTTGATCCCCGGTACCAATAAAAATGAAAAAAACAAACAAAAAAAAGAGCTCTACGTAAGTGAGGTTGGAGAATGGGGAGAAGGCCCAGAAAGCGAATGGCCAGCCAGGAAATCCCAGGGTGTGTGGAGACAGCTCAGCCCGCTAGGGTTGCACATGCTGTCCCACGGCTGTCCCACTCTGCCCATGCCGTGCCTGCCTACCTGCACTTGGTGGCGACAGCACCAGTCGGAGTGGGGAATGGGGAAAGTAACGTTGGTCCGCTGATGGAAGTTTTCTTCTCCGGGCTGGAGAGGAAAGGGTGGAGATGCGGGCTGAGTAAGAACTTCCGGCAGCACATCCACGATGCTGCTGCTGGGGGACCTGAGCCTCTGTGCACCAGCGCAACCCGCAGAAGACTAGAGGGAAGAATGCTTTTGAGACTTCTGCAGGGTGACTGGCTTTTGTCAGGTCACAGGCTCATCCAGTAACCGGTCACTTTCCCTTGGCTTTCACTGCTGGGGACTAAGGGCACACATCTGTGTTCACACCCTGCGGGCGTGCAGAACCAGCGGCACATTTCCTGTACTAACCTGGCTGCATCATATGTCTCACCTTTATCTCCGCTTGGTCTTAATCTCTACATTTCTTTCTTTTTTAAATCTTCAAATCCCTTTTGGAATAAAGTGAACAAGGCCAAACAAAAGGAGATCGGGGAGCATGTGGGGGAGGGAGGAACAAAAGGACTGAGGTGGTGGGCCGGGCACAATCAACTATTTCATCAGCTAGAGACTCAAGTATAAGACAGAGTCCCATGTCTCAGCAGGAGGGAGGAGGAAAGAACTGTCTGCCGATGAGCCTGACGCTCTGAGCTCATGGCAACGTGGTTCTGCTGGGACCAGCACAGAGCGGGTCTGAGGCTTCTACAGGGGCTTCGAACTGTGGCAGGGAAGTTGAGGAAGTGGTAGAGAATCTGGGAGTGGTGGTGCATACCCGTAGCACCAGTGCTCAGGAGGCTGAGGCAGGAGAGATGCAGGTCTGAGGCTGACCTAGGCAACTCAGTGATACTGAACCTCAAAATTAAATAAAAAAGGAGAGAGAAAGGAAGTGAAGAAGAGAGAAAGAAAAGGCAGATTGAGAAGGGAAGGAGGAGGGACAGTAGAAAGGAAGGAATGGGTGGCAGAGACTTACCGCCGGTATTTGAAGGACACTCTCAAAGCAGCTGAGGTTCTCCACGTGTGGAAAGCTGCTGAGCAGGATCTGGTAGTGGGTGGATTCGTTCCACAGGGTGAAGCTCACCCGAAGCTGCTCAGCCTCGCATTTGTCCACAGTGATGTTGGGGTCCCACAGGCTGCCTGCGAGGGCACAGACACTGGCTGGGAATGAGGAGGGGCACGTGCCCGTGTATGTATGTACGTGTGTGTGTGTGCGCACGCCCGCACGTGTGTGTGTCTGTGTATACCCACCTGGCCCTGCTCAGGTACATGGCTTGCCCTGGTGCCCTGTGCCCTGGGGACTAAGGGCACAGATCTGTGTTCACACCTGGCAGGTGTACAGAACCAACAGCACGTTCTCTGTACTAATCTGGCTGCATGTTATATCTCATGTTCATCTTCCCTTGGTCTTTTTTCTTTTCTTCAGCACTAGGGATTGAAATCGCAACCTCACACTTGCCAGGCAGGGACTTGTGCCATGGAGCTAAATCCCTGGCCTTTCCCCTTGGGTTTTAATCTCTACGTTTCTTTCTTTTTTAAAATGTTTGCCCTGTGCCCTGGGTGCAGTTCTCCTGCTGGCCAGTTACCTGAGCTCAGACAAAGCGTGGTCATCTTCATCTCAGGATCCTTGCAGTCTGCCAGCCCAAAAGAAAAAGACATCATTAGGCCGCTGCCTTGGGAAGCTGTTTTTCCAGGCTGCTGACCCTGGGAGCCGCAGTCCCTTTCCTCCTGGGCAGCCTGTTCTAATGGCCCCTTTACAGTGTGATCCAGGGCTGGACTGCTGCCGCTGGGCCACTGGGTTGGGGCAGCCTGGCTACCTCTGCCCTCCTGTGTGAGGACACCCGTGTATGTGCACATTTGCACGTGTGTGCTTTGCAATGAAGAAAGTCTTGAGCTTGGCAGTTGAACACTTGTGAAGGATACACAAAGCCCTTACCAGTTCCACCTTGCACCAGAAAACAAAACGAGAAATAACCAGCACTTCCTGCACACCATATTCAAGGTACTCTGTGAGATTCTGGACATTACACAAATGGATGGGAGGCCAGACCTTGTCCATAGGGGATGGATCAGACAAAGCTGGCTCTGAACAATGAGAAATGCTGGCTCTTGTAATTTTCCACAAAAGCCTGTGCTGTGTTTCTCAGATGTAGTGTGCACTTTTATCTTCGCTTTTACCCTCTTTTTTTTTTACTCTGCCCAAGTCCATTCTGCAGAGCCAGTTTCACCCCTGCTCTTCACTTTTACTCTTTTAAATAAATTTTGCAAAAACAAACACACAAAACCAAACCAATACAAGAAATCTTGCAGGCAATGGCTAAGACTCTGGGGACAGCGGAGGGGTGGGAGGTGTACATAAATCAGGTGACGTGTTAGAGGATAAACTGGGCAGCAGTCACGGGCAGGATGGGTTGGTGCGGAAGCAGGAGAGAGTAGGATGCATGCGATGGGTGTTGGGTAAGTGTGGGTGGATGCGGGGGGGGGGGGGGGAGTAAGGAAGAATGTGTGGAGGCTAAGCACAGGCCTGCAATCTTCCCTGACACTTCCTGGGCTGAGACAGATGGAGATGCCTGGCTCCCACCAAACTCCAAGGACCCGGGCCCATCTCCTGTGCTGTGCTACTGGAGAGCAGGCTGTGTAAGGAGCCCACAGCTTTACACCAACGGCTCCCATGTCTTGGCATCTGTGCTCCCTACCGGCACCATGCCAGGCCATGGTAACCGTCGTTGAGCGAGCAGCACCACTGGTTTCTTCCCCCAGACCTGAGCACAGCAGGGCGAGGGGTTAGAGGATGTGCTTACCAGGCACGAGAACATTCCTGGACAGGTGGTTTGGGTCCCCATCAGGGATGGGCTTGGGCAGGTGGTGAACAGTCACCTCGTATTCCTGGCCAGGATCAACCACGAAGTGGTCAAAGGTAAAATACCACTGAAGAAAAGGGAGAAAGGGACATTGGAAGAGTCACACATATCCCTGTGTCACCCACACCTGTGTGCAAAGAACCTTATTGCCATCAGTTCTCCCCAGATCAATCAAAATGAGAATAAGGCAACCACCACAACAGAATCTGCAATCGGGACACAATATCTTTATCCTGTTTCCTCTGCTCTTCCTGCTTTTTTTCCCTCTCCATTAGATAATCTAGATTTGGCCTCCTTGGTAGAGAGCACTGTCACATGCAAAGCGGGGTGAGCATGGAGGTGGTGTAACTGCTTTGCAAGCTCTGGTTTGATCCCTAGCACCCCCACTTCCCCTCTCCATCAGCCCTGTGCAGTTCCAGAACAACGAGGAGTAAGAGGCCGGAGCTGGGAGGCCTGGGACAAAAGAGGCAGCAAAAACGCCTTGTGAAATGACTTCCTTCTTACAGAGCACAGCTGGTGGATGTAACTTGTCCTGTTTGTCTGCCTTCCTGCCTGTCTGTTTTTGCGGTACTGAGGACGGAACCCAAGGCCTCCTATGCTCCTTGGCCAGCCCTCTGCCACTGAACCACACCAAGACCCTAACTTGCTTTGCAGCTTCTATTTGCAGATTTAAACAAGTGGTTTTCAAACTAGCTCAGGCATCAGAATCACCCAGAGGGCATTAAACACCAATTGCTGGGCCCCACCCTCTGGTTTCTGGTTCCGGAGGTGTTGGGTAGGGCCTGGAAATAACCATTTCTAACAAATTCACAGGTGATGTTGGTGGGTCAAGGGACAGACTTTGGGAATTACTGTTTCAACTAACTAAAGAATCAACATTTTACCCACTAGTGCTAGCAGCCACAAGCAAGCCTACACTGTCCAGGACCCTGCTCACAGCAGGTCGTTGGCTTGAATGAAGTTTTTTCTTCCTGTAAGAAGGAACAGCTAAAGGCTGGGGTACAGTGGCTCTGAGGTCTGGGTTCCATCCCCAGGACTGGGGGAAAAATAGCTAGGTATAGAGGGAAAAGCAAGGGTGGGGTATTTGGACTCTCAATGTAGCAGACACACCCCGTCCCCTTGGGGGCAACCACCTTAAATTCTTCAGACTCTCAATACCTCTGTGTCTTGAGCATTCTCAGTTAAGATCCCAGTCTGGGGACAAGTCTACACTGGCCATCAGTGAAGGAACACAATCTTTCCGGAGTTGTGTCTTACCCGCTTGAAGTGATTCAGTTTGGTCAGAAACTTAAACTCAACACACAAACGTTCATTGGTGTCCAGCTGCAGGATGGACAGCTCGGCACCCTCAAGGAACAGGATGCTGGCTGCGGTGGAGAGGAAGAGGAGACAAGTCACTTGGCTCCCGGGTGTGCCACTTCCCCATCTGTTGTGCTTACTCACTTCTGAAAGCAGCTCTGCTCATCTTACCTAACTCCCCACTTCCTGCTCCCTTTGCCTCACTCCTGGCCTCAGCCTGCTGCTCTGAAGACAGTTGTCCCCAGCTGGAGGACACTTTCCCCTGGGCCAGCAGCAGAAGCTTTGCGAACTTGTGGCTAGGGTGCTGGCCGCACAGCATGGCCTCACATGTGACCAGCCCATCATTATTGCAGAGGTTATAGTGGCCAGCCCTAGGCACAAGGACTGGGGACTTAGAGGACAGACTACAGCCTGCTCACAGACCTAGGGCTGGCTCTGTTTAACTTCGATCTTCCTAATTCTATAATTAAATTCCTGGTCCTCGAGGAAGCTTGGGAGAATTTTATAAAGTACCAGCTCCAGTAAAGAGCAGGGTGGCAAATGTATTACAATTTTTCTAGTAAATATTTGGAATTATTATAAAATTAACCACTTGCTCCCTCATTTCCCAGGGTAATATAAATCCTGGGCAAAAGAAAGGCCTTCATAAAGGCTAGTGTGGTAAGAAGCTGCTAAAATACTGATTAAGTATTAACTGAATGCAATGAGGGGTCTTTCTGGCACCAAATGTGAGCGCTCACGTCTGAGCACAGGTTTGGGCCTCCCCCACTGAGCTTGAGTGGGAGGCCCAGTGGTCTGGACTGTGGATGCATGAGGAGGTAGCGGGGCTCCCCAGGACCTGGCTGGGTACCCACTTACCATCTGTCTGCAGGGTCCACTTAATGTGTACCACAGGGACCAGGTCTCCATGCTTCATGTGCGTAAGACGAATCTGGACCTGGACATTCTTTGGGGAGGAGGGCGTCAGGTTTCGAGGGTGGATCCAGGTGTCATCCAGGCAGGTGCCTGGCAGCCAGAGAAAGGCAACAATCACAGACGTGCAGAGGAGACCCTTCAGTGACCCTCAGGGGTCCTTGTGACCCCCAGAAGCTCCTAACACCTGCTGCCCTGAGAACTCTTTCATAATGCTGATCTGAGGTCACTGCCAAGATCAGAGTCTAAAGGGCATTTTGGGAGGTGGTTTTTTTTTTTGGTAATGGGGATCAAACTCATGACCTCATACTTTCCAGGCAGGCACTTATGCTGCTGAGCCAAATCCCCAGTCCAGGAAGTGGATTTTGAGATGAGGCGGTCGGGACTGGGGATTTAGCTCAGAGGCAGAAGCGCCTGCCTGGCAAGCAGTAGGTTGTGAGTTTGATCCCTGGTACAAAAAAAAAAAAAAAAAGAGAGAGAGATGAGGCAGTCACTGAAAATGGGTCCAAGGAGGATGGGGCAGGAATCAGAGCGAGCGACTTTATTTTTATATGTCAGGGTCTTTAATTAATACAGACTTGTGGTGTCTGCCCCTTCCTTGAATTATGCAATCAAAGGGGCTGGGAGATACAGAGCTTGTCTATCATGTGCAAGGGCCTAGGTTCAAATTCTTTGCATGAAAGAAAACAAAACTCCCTCCCCCCTGCCAAAAAAAATTAACTCCAAGCCAAACTCCAACATTATAGATATCTCATTCTACAGACAAGCAGTGGCAGGTCAGATTGTACTATAGATATGGGAGTGCAGCACACCAGAGAAAACTGTCAGAATGAAACTCCGATTCCTGTCTCCTGACTTCTGCATGAGCATTTTCCACAGGAGAGGCAGGTGCCTACGTCTGAGATTTGCCTGTTGATGGTGACAGCCCATGATCTCAACTTGGAACAAGGGGGCAGAGCTTCTGCAGAAATCAGCATGAGCTTATTGCTTCATTAACAGAACAAGAAGTGGAACAAGCAAACAAACAACAACAAAAAAAGACTTACTATTCTTGACTGTGCAGTTTAACCCCTGTGGGAAGAAAGAGAGTGGTAATTACAGCGAGAAACAACTTTAATCTACAGGCTGGTTCCAGACACCTTCCCCAGGTTCTTGTGCGAGAATGGAAAGTACACAGCACACCCTCTGCACTTCTGGGGGCCCATTTTCAGTGTGTGGGGGTACATCTTCTTACAAAAGGAGCATAGTGCATGGTCAAATGGAACTGATGTCTTTGTGAGTAACTATTCCAAGCAGGAACTCTACAGATTTAAAGGACACTGAGGAGATTCTCTTGAGGCACCATACTAAAAAGTCCCTTAAACCTCTCGAGGCCTCCAATCTTTGGTCTCAGTAACAATGCTTCATGAGGTGCAGAAAGGGTGGGGGGCAAAATTACAACTTTTGTTACACATCAGTTATGGGAAATACATGAAATCTCTATAAATCTATTAGGAAAAAGTGCTCGAGCCCATTCTGGGTGATTTATATATAACACATATATTACATATTATATAATTTTACATTTTAGTAAAGCCATTAATTGTCAAAATCCTTTTTTGGGGGATGGAAGCCAGGGTCCTGACTCTGCTAAGCAGTGATCCACCGCTGCCCTGCAGCCCCAGCCCCAAAGACACCCATATAAATATCATCCCAGCCCCATTTTATGGAGGGGGAAGTATGAGCACTCCTCCATTTGGCAATGCACAGGGACCTAATCCACCGCCCATCTCGAGGCTCAAATTTATAAACCAGTGGTAAACATTGTCAGGGACATGGAGCAGTATGCTTCAGTTTTGCCAACTGGCTACTCTGGAGAACATACGCAAACATACGTGTACACACATGCACACACAGACTCCTTCACTTCCCTGGGGTTGGACTGCCTCAGTGAGCCTCTTCAACTGGAAAATTAGATTCGTCTTACCACTAATGTCACAGCATTGTTGAGATTTAAACTGGGAGGGAGGGGTTCCGCTGCTGAGAGCAGTGGGTGTACAGGCGGCCCTAACATATCTGCACACACCTCTCACAATGGAATGCATTTGTGTGTGATAAGCACGTGAGTGCTGTGTGAATCAGGAGGAACAGCTTTTTTTTTTTTTTTTTTTTTGGTACTGGGGATTGAACTCACGACCTTGAGCTTGCCAGGCCAGCGCTTGTGCAGCCCCCAAGGAGGAATAGCTTTGTTGGTAGCAGTGTCCAGAAAACTGTCTCAACTGTTCAACCAGTGTTTGTAGTGTCTGACACGTGATGGCTGCTCTTTAATTAATGGCTTTCCTTTTTTATAACTCTGCATATAGTAAATACTCAGTAAACAAAAGCCTTGTTCTTCTTCTTCTTTTTGAGACAGGGTCTCTCTATACATTTCAGGGTGGCCTTGAGCTTACTTTGTAGTCTAGGCTGGTCTCAAACTCGCAATGATCCTCCTGCCTCGGCCTTCTGAGCACTGAGATTATGGGCGTGAGCTACCACGCCTGGCTTTTCTTTTTTTTTTTTTTTTTTGAAACACTATCTCACTATGTAGCCCAGGCCAGCCTCCAACACATGATGATCCTCCTGCCTCAGCCTCCTAAGTGCTGGGACACCAGTTTCTAAGGCTCAGCCCAGACTCTCTGCCCTGGGCAGCTCCTGGTGGTTTACTGGGTCTGCTGGGCCATTGCTCTCGGCAGAGCTTCAGAGGGTCAGTGCCACATCCCTCTTGGTTGGCTTGACCAGTGCCTGAAGAGTGAAGAGGTGGAGCCCATGAATCCTCACCTTTTGCCTCCCACTTGAAACTGCTAGGACAGTGACTTGGAGGAGGAGATGCTGCTCCTTCACCTTCAGACCGGGGCTTTTCTAATGACAAACAGATACTGCACTGGGGTAACTCCCTATCGTGGCTGCTAGAGTCAAACACCACTGCCAAAAGCTGTTCCCGAGGAAAGGGGCAGGAGCCTGAAGGGAAGCGTTAGAGACAGTCAGTGCAGTAGTGTGTGATCTTCCTCCTGTCCCTGAGGATGATGGAGGCCACTTGCTTTGTTTGTTTTGGTCTTGGACTTTAATAAACACAATTGTATTGAAGAATTTTCCTTCGGGGGCTGGGGATTTAGCTCAGCGGCATAAGCGCCTGCCTTGCAAGCAGGCGTGAGTTCGATCCCTGGTACCGATAAAAAATGAAAAAGACAAAAAAAAAAAAAAAAAAAAAGAATTTTCCTTCAGTTATGGTTTATATCTAGATCCACCCCCAAAACCTATGCCTCTTGGGTGGGCCTTTTGGAAGGTCACTGCATTAAGTGGGGAGGGTCTGGTCAGGAGAGGCCTGTCCCTGAGACTAGCATCAGCCTGTGGATTCCCTCCTTCACTCTGCTTTCTGGCTGCCACAACATGAGTGGATTTCCCTGTGCCATGTCCTTTGGCCATGCCATCCTAATGTGAAGCCTATGAATTGAAAGTATGAGCCAAAATAAAAGTCTCTTCTTTTGTTGGTGTTTGGTATTGAGTCCCAGCAACCAGCATGCTTATAGGCAGCCCATAAAGTGGGTAAGGTGGTACAGGCCTATAATTCCAACACTACGGGAGGCTGAGGCAGGAAGATCATAAGTATAAGCCCAGCCTAGGCAATTTTTTGACTTAATAGCACCATGTCTTTAAAAAAAAAAAAAAGATGCTGGGATGTAGCTTGGGGAGAAGGGCTTGAGTTTAATCCCCAGAGCTACAAAAGAAAAAAAGAATAAAAACAACCAGGCATAAACCTTATCTAATAGTCTCCTCTACTTTTTAACATAACTTTGTAGGTTTTCTCCTTTAATTTACTGATATTATAGTTTATGTTGATGCTTTGATAATAATGGACCAACACTGTATTATTAGGATAAACCCTACTGTGCTATAGTGTTATTTTTTTATTCTTTTGACATTCTGTTATATTAAATTTGCTACTGTTAATTATTTTAGATTTGCTTGTGTCATGTTCATAAGTGAGACTGGGCCATAGTTTTCTCTTTACAAAAGGATCTACCAAGTTTTAGGATTAAGTTTAAAAAAATGGGTTGCTTTCCCTTTTGTTCTGTAGTATTCAATATTCATCAATAACTGAATAAAGTAGAATCAGTTAAATCCAAATATCTATCAAAATGGAAGGTGAGTAGTCTACAATATTATGCAAATATTAAGGAAATTAGTGACACAGGTATGTATCTATTCGCTTGGAGTGATACTGAGGAATAGGCTACAAGGAACTTTTTAAAAACTTTTTGAGATATGCTCTATGTTGTCCAGGTTGGTCTCAAGTTCCTGGGCTCAAGTGATCCTCTTGCCTCGGCCTCTGGAATCACTGGACTACAGGTGTTTGGCGCCAAGCCTGGCCACAAGGAACTTCTTACAGTAAGATCCTATTTCCTATGAAATTAGGCGATGAAAAGACCTCCCAATATATTTCTAAATGTTTGAGCATGACTGCACAAACCAGAGAAACATGGGGACAGATTTATGTCAGTTGTTAACACACGGGCTTCTGGGGATAAAGGAGATGAAACAGAGGATGGTGAGAAGGGACGTGAGAGAAAGATTTAAACAAAGCAGAAAGGTATGCTTCGTTCATGCCTGTAATCCCAGCACTTGGGAGGCTGAGGCAGGAGGCTCATTGTGAGGTAGAAACCAGCCTGGGCTACAAAGTGAGCTCAAGGCCAGCCTGAACTGTATAGAGAGACCATGTCTCAAAAAAAAAAAAAAGCATAGGTTAAATGCAGCACACAAGATTCCTTTTAAAGGTTGTTGTGCATCGACTATGTACACCTATCTTCTCAAGCTAAATGAAAATTACAGGAAAGGGACTTTTTTTTTTACACATTCTGAATGACAAAGAGGCAACCTCCGTGGACAGGAGATGGGAACATACTTTTAAAGTCAAAATGGAAGAGGTGAGCAACCAGTTTTAGCTGAGTGGAACAACTTAATCTGAACATACAGAGGAAATTGCGGCTAGGAAAGAGGCTCGAGGCCCCTCAGGACCTTGTAACAGCCAGGCCTTCAAAGAGGAGGCACGAAGTGTGGGTCCCCCGGAGCAGCACTGAGGACCTACCCAGGCCTCAGAATAGGCAGCAGTACCAGAGGCGAGAACCATGGGCCCTGACTTGAGTGCCGCCCACAGACTGGCCTGTCACAGGCCTACCTGCACAGAGCTCAGGCCCCAAGGACAGAATGTGCAGTCTTCCTCCTCCCACCCCCACCTTCTTCCTTACAACATTCTCAGTTCCGGCCAAGGAGGGCCCAACATTTGAGATGAACTTCCTGTATGAAAAACAGATTAAAGGCCAGGGATTCAGCTCAGCGGCATAAGTGCCTGCCTGGCAAGTGCAAGCTCAATTGCCCATACAAAAGAAAAAAAAAAAACAGATTAAAAAGAATTTTGAAAAATGCTCCTAAAGGAAATAAGGCAACATTGAGAATAGAATAAAATTAAAACAGGCTTAAAAGAGAAAAGAGAGGAAGCTGCATTTGTAAGATAAAGAAGAAATGAGCAAGCCAAGAATAAAAATGAACCTGGAAGACAAAAAAAATTCAAGAGTGGTGGGTGTAGCTCAGTGATAGAGCATTTGCTTACAATGTATAAGGTCCTGGGTTCAATCAATGGCCAGCAGAAAAAGAAAATAAAAAACATTAAAAGGGCTGGGCTATAAAATTAAAGAGACTTCTCTGAAAGAAGAACAAATACAAATTGAAATAGAAGATAAGATACATTACTATTAGAGAATCAATGTAAGAAACCCAAGATATGACTCAGATGATTCAGAAGATTATAGAAAAAAATAAAATAAAATGGAAGAAATTATATAGTAACTCCTGGAGACAGGGTCGCGCACTGTGGAGACTCAGGTTGGCCTTGCACTCACTATGTAGTCCGCGCTGGCCTCGAAGCTGCAGCGACCCCCTTGCCTCAGCCTCCTGAGTGCTGGGATTATAGAATGTGCCACCACACTCAGCTGGAAGAAATTATTTTAGATTGGCGCCTGGCCTTCGGTGAGCGGAGGAGGAGCTGCGCGGACCCGGAG